GCAGCTGGAAGGAGCCAGTGGGCCCTAGCCCAAACCCACTCCCCTGGGGACACAGCTGCCCCCAGCCCCTGGCACTGTGCTCCAAGGCGCTCAGCCCATTTCACACTCCACCAACTTGCACAATGCCACTTGGCCAAGCCTCGTGCCTGCTGTGTGCCTCTCATGTGCCAGTCGTGTGCCAAGCATGTTCCTGCCAGGATGGGTACTGAGCTTCTGCGTCTGCTCTGCTGCACTGGGCAGCTAATGCAGCAGAACAGGAGCATGTGATAGCTCCCAGCAAGGCAAACCTCTCACCCCACCACTTGGCCCCACATTTCTGCCCCAGGCTGAGATTTTGGGAGAGCAGAGGAGGGTGGTTTTTTCCACAAGAGTCCTAACAATTCTGGGACAGACAGAGAAGATAAAGTACTTCGTGCACACATAAATATTTTAGCAGCTGCTCCTTTAGCCTCCTCCTGACACAGAGCTGAGAGGATACACTGCATAGCAAGGACATTGCTTCTGCCTTCATTGCAGAAATCCCCTTTTTAGCAAAATTGTACCCTGCTGACAAAAACATTGGTTTGGATATTGTCACAGGGATCTGCCTGGGCACCCGGAACTTTCCCGAGCCTGCCTGACTGCGCTGCCTGGCACAGCTCAGATCAAGGTTACAGCACCAAGGCTGCATCCTGAGCATCCCCCATCCCCACCTTCCCGTACTGTGCCAGGGTCTCAGAACAGGTTGATGCACACTACCCTCTGGCACTGTACTGAAAGCATCACCAGTCCACCCTGAGGAGCATTCAGACTCTCTCACCTCTGCCTTTGCTACCAAAGGTGGCCACGATGCCCAGGCTGGGCATCCTGAACTGCTGCCAGTGCCCAGCAACTGTTCCAGCATCACAAGTGGTTGGCAAAGTCCCACAACAGCCCCAAAATGCAAATGCTCCCTGTTTTTATGCCCTGAATGAAATGCCAGCATGGGCAAGATGCCAGCTCCAAATCCCCATCCTTAGTGTCACCCTCAGTTAATTGCTGGGAAAACCTGAGCACCACCCAGCAGGACCTGGGGAATCTGTCTGCATGTCCCAGCTAGGTGGAAAATGCTTTCCTCATCTTTTCAAGCAACATTTCAGCCTTATGCTGGGAAAAACTACCCAGGGATGTAAGCAAAGCCTTGACAGCCCTTCTGTCCCTGGAGTGCGGAAAGGGGGAGGCTCGGGGACGACTCCAGTCAGAGGCAGATCTTTAAGCAGGAGCCTCCCACGTGGCCATGTCTGTGAGGCTGTTTGGTATTCTGGGATGTGGTTTTCTCTCTGTTTTTGGATAGAAATTCCACTCTGGACTTAAAAACCCCCAACAAACCACCACTTTGTTGATTTGGCCAAGCAGGCCTTTTCTAAAGCACAACACCCCTTGCTACTTTGTGAGCTTGTCTTCCCCCTCTGCTCACCAAATCATCCGAACTATTGCCCATGAGCACTTCCACTGCAGAAAACCTCTCAGCTGGACAGCATAGGACATAAGGGTGTCTGAGCATCACCTGCGCCCCAGGGTGCCCCCAGGTGTGCTCACCAGTGCCTCACTTACTATGTGCCATGGGAGCCAGGGTGGCAGAGGCACTGCCCAGTCTCGAAATGGCACTGGCCGTTGACACAGTCGCTGCAGACGAAGGCGCAGTTCTCCCCATATGTCCCATTTCGGCACTTGGTTTCACACCTGGGAGGGATGAGAGCAAGTGGCTGGAGCACCCACGGCACTTGGGTCCCTCCAGCATCCCTCCACATGCACGGAGATGGACTGTACACCACCACGGTGCTTTGTGGTTTCTGAAGCCAGGAGAGGGCTACAGGGATGGACTGAGCCCACTGACACGGCCATGGAAATGGAGGGAGCCTGCGAGACCCCTGCCCTAGGCCCCTCAGACCCTGAGTGCTTGCAGTGGGGCTCAGTTCTCAAGCTGGGATACTCTCCCTCAAACTCAAGTGCACAGGCTTGGTTTCAGGGCTGCACAACGCTTCAATGACCCTGTTTCCTGGGAGAATCAGGGAAGCCATACACTGCTCTCCCAATCCACCTATCTGCACTCACCGGTCTCCAATCCAGCCCGGATTGCAGTGGGAGCATTTGCCATTGATGTGATTGCAGGTGTGGCCGTCCTTACAGGGGGGACAGAGCTTCTCACAGCCCTCTCCGTAGAAGCCAGGCGAGCAGGGCTGGTCGCACTTGGTGCCGTTCCAGCCCGCCTCACACGTCAGGCAGCGCCCGTCGGCCACGGTGCACGGCTGCAGGCTCTTGCACTGCCCACATCTGCAACAAGGTGAACCCATCACCCAGCACACCTCAAATCCTCCTGCTGTCACCTTCCACCAGCGCTGGATCAGACCCAGCAGGGCTGGTTACTCACCGCCTCCTGCAGCCTTGGCCATAGAAGCCGGCCGGGCACGGCTCGCGGCAGTACTTGCCCCGGTAGCCCGGCTCGCAGGTGCAGGTCCCGTCCACCTGGTTGCACTTGCCCTTGTAGCACTGGCAGTAGCGGTCGCAGCGAGGCCCGAAGGTCCTGTCCCGGCACTGGCAGCGCCCTGTGAACTGCTCGCAGGGCGAGTTGTTGCAAGAGCACTGGTTGTTGCAGCCACGGCCCCACCAGCCAGGCTGGCACAGGCAGTTGCCTGTCTGCTGGTCACACTGGGAGTTGTGGCTGCAATAGCAGGAGCTGGAGCACTGTGGGCCCCACCAGTTGGGCTCGCAGGTGCATTTACCCGTCTTCTGGTCGCACTTGCCATGCTTGCAGAGGCAGATATTCTCACACTTGGGGCCCCAGCGGTTGAGGTTGCAGGTGCACTGGCCCGTAACGTCCTCGCACTGCCCATTGGGATGGCAGGTGCACATCTCCTTGCAGTCGGGACCCCAGAACTGCCGGGGACACTCTGTGGGGAGAGCCATCAGCCTCAGCACTGCCCACAGGGACATCCCCAAGCCAGGCACCAGTGGAGACCTGCAGTCCCAACAGCACCTCTTGACTACAGTCCTCCCTCTCCTCCTCCCCAGTGCAATGGATCTAAGAGAAGACCCCAGCAAGGGGACAATGCCCTGGGGAACAGAGCCAGGAGTCAGGTGAGGGCAGAGCAAGAGCATTCACACTCCATCCCTGATGATCTGCTCTGGACAGCCACCGCAGGATGAGCCAGGTCCACCCCGGTGAACCCCCTGAGGACACAAAGGCACTCGCCAGTACTCACTGGTGTCGCAGTTGGCACCGAAGTAGCCATGGCGGCAGCGGCACTCGCCGGGCCTGACGCATACCTCATTCTCCTTGCAGGTGAAGTTCCCCTCGCACACGGCTGGACAGATGGACAGACAGCAGGCGTGAGTACCAGTACTTGCTCCCTAAAGCTCCCCAGACCCATCCAGAGCAGAAAAAGGGCTGTGCAGTGACCCTCTGAGTGCTGCTGAGCTGTGGCACTGTGACCATCCTGGTGAGAAACTGCCTGGGCTGGATGAAACCCTTTCCAGAAAAATTCCACCAGCCTCCTGTCACCCAGCTCAGCTCCATCTCTGCCACCCACACAGGCCACCAGTCTCCTGCCATCCAGCCAAGCCATGTCCCTGCCAGAGGCTGCACCCAAAGGTGCTGTCCCTTGCTCAGCTCCGCATTGCTAGCGGGGAGAAGGGGTCACGGAGTGGAGGCGTTCTGGGCACTGCCATCCCAGCACTGCCTCTCCCACATGGCTACCTGTCCCCAAAGGCTACCAGCCCCTCTCCTGCTGAGGGGACCTCATGCTGAGGCCAGCACCTGGAGCCAAGCAAGCATAGCACATGGGGCAGGCAGCACTTGCAGATCCCACACCACCCTGGACAAGCTTCCTTAGGCACTGGGAGGGGGAGAGACAACCACCCATCCCAGCCACCTTACCTGGGAGTTGTTAGACCTACGGTGATGGATATTATAGAAACCCCTAAAATAGACAGATTACACAGGTTAGGAGCAGTGAGTCTAAAGGTTAGAGCAGGTTGGGGGGCAGGAGATGGGAAAAGCTCATTGTGGGACCATCCTCCCCCCATTGTCCTGGCAGATCCTGTCCTTCTCGCTTGCAAACAGGCCACATCCCATCCCCAAGGCACGCAGCGAGCAGTTACAGGGCTCATGCACAGTGGGTTAGTTGGTTATGTGGGCTTTTGTCCTAGCTGCAAAGTGCCACCTCCAGCTCTCCCAGGGCATGGTGATCCCTGTGGCCAGCCCGTGGCCATCCTCCCTGTGGGGGAGCCCCAAAGCAGCTGTCGTCACTGTGGTGGCAATGCAGGGAATGATGCTCCTAGGGTTTCATGCTGAGCATCCATGCTGGACTCACTGTGGCCCCCAGTAAAGAACTGTGACACCTTGTACGGACCCAGTCCAAGCTCAGTGGTCTTGGCAGCCCTAGCAGCCTCTCCCCAGTGAGACCATGTGCCTGGTCTGGGCAGCTTCAGCTTCACTGGTGGCTCTGGCTCAGGTCCCCACACTGCTGCAGCATCTCTAGGGAATCTCAGTCCCATTCCTGCAGCTGCACCTTCACCCTGGGGGACACTTCACTGTCCCTTAAGACCCAAGGCAGCATCCCCAAGTCCTCAGACCCAGAGCTGGCTGGTAAGGAAAGAAACCCCCACAGCTCTGTGACCCTGGACACTGGGGCTGAGCACCCATTCCATCCACATGGTGCTGGCCTAGAGCACTGCAGAGAGGCAGGACTTTGGCTGCAGGTTCCCAGGACACGGGGTCCCAACCACAGGACACATTAAGGTGGCCCCTGACAGTGGTGGTGAGGCCAGGAGAGCTCAGTGAAGGATGGGCAGAACCTAATGAAGCAAAATCCTGGTGTTTACCTATTAAACACTCGCTTCCTTGTTGCCTCCATCCCAGGCAGCACACGAGAACAGAGGAGCTGCAGGGATAAAAAAGCATCACAAATAGTTACAACCCTCAGAAAGTCCTGGTCCTTCCCAAAATCCCACCAGGAGCACCATGATGGTGAAAGGTCCTGCTGGAGGCTTCTGCACGTCCACAGGGGAAGGAGAGCTCTTGGATCCTCCTCCAGCACATGGATCTGCTGTGGGATTTCATGGATGCTCCACCAGCCATTAAGGTGATGCCAGGAGTAAGAACAGGACCAGTTTTTCCCATTAATAAGGAGTGATGAAAAAGCAAAAGTCATGTTTGCAATCTCTAGAATTAAAAAAATCCCCCCCCCCAAAAAAAAAAAAAAAAGTGGGAAGAAAGGGAAGGTTCTAAATGTCCTAGGGGAAAACATGACTTGAATCCTAGGCTTGATGCTTTGTGGCCTGGGGACAGAACCCCAAAGGCAGGTTGGAACCACCTAGCTGGAATAGCTGGAACACAATCAGCTCCCAGGGAATGTCCCTATGTACAAGCAGGGGGATGCCAACTGCAGGCAGTTGGAATGTGTCCTGAGCTCCTGAGAGTCCTGGAGTGCCACCACTTCCATGGAGTACCAGGCACAGGATCATTAGGCAGGAAGTTTTTGGCACAAGCTTGAGCAGAATAGGGGCTCAGACCCACTTAAGACTCAGCCAGGCATGCTCAGCTCTCTGCTGGGAAGGGACACGTGGGGACACCTCACTCACACTTCATCAAAGAACCTCCCCAAGCCAAGGTTTGGGGGCTCATGATGCTGCAGCTGGGCATGGGGAGTACACTCCCCATGACCCCACAGAAATCCCTGTTTGTGGACCCCTGCTCATGCCTTGCGCCATTCACTGATCCTTGCGGTGACCCACACTGCCTGGTCCCACAGGCGAGGGAGCAGTGCTGGACAAACAGCCCAGACGGATGCTGCAGTCAAGGAAAACTTCACCCAGGCTGGTCTGGCGGCGCAGCCTGGAATGCATTTGGCTTTTTCTTTTTTTTTTTTTTTCCCCTTTTCCTCTTTATATGTAACAAATGCAAAAGAGGAGGAGACAGCGAGGAAGTATTCGCTCGAAACCCAGTGCAGTCACAGGACCACGTCTGGCTGCCAGACCGCCTCATCCTGGGGCTGGGGAGGGAGCTGCCAGCAGCTCCGAGGCCAAAGTGGGGTCCTGGGCTGCAGCTCCTGCCCCAGACCCTCGGTGGGCAGCACCTGCATGGCCCAGCCAGGAGTACCGTGTCCCCCTTTTTGTGGCGGACAGCAAAAAGTTGGAAAGGAGGCAGAAAAGAACCACAAAAATGATTCAAGGCCTGGAAAAAAATGCCTTGCAGCCGGAGCCCAAAATAGCTCCATCTATGCAGCCTGTGGAAGCAGCTGCAAGATGCTGAGATGGCAGCAGCACAAACGCCCCCCACAGGGATCACCGGGCTCAATGGGGGGCTCTGCTCCCACTGAGCATGAGAGGGGATGCACGGAATTAATGGCAAAGAGGGGCCAACCACCAAATCACCTCCCTGAGAACTGGGCGGGCTGGAGTCGAGGTCCTTCTGTGCAAGAGGCTTCAGGCTGTGCCCCTCAAAAGCTTTGCCAGCTGTGCCGGAATACTCAGGCAGAGGTGGAGAAGGGTCCACGGTGCTCCTGCCCTCCCATGCATGGCCAAAGCCTCACTGTTGAACCTGGGGTTGCTTTCACCCTTTAGAAATTCCGTTTGGTGGCTTTTAGAATGAAACCATCACAGGTTTGCAAGAGAAAACCCTTCCACCTGGGAAACCTGCCACCAACAGCCCAGCCTGGCCACCAAAACGGGCATCACGGGAAATGTGGCCAAAAGTAGCCTTTGTGATGAGCAGATGGTGGGGAGCTGGGAGTTACTGGAACATGGTGGCAGGAGGGAAAAGCTTCTGCCATGACCTGGAGGAGGTGAGTGGCACCACGACCACCCCCAGCTGGGACCCAACCCACTGCCTCACAGGATTTGGGCTTATCTGTTCCCTGATAGCTAATCTCTCCTTCCCCGTGCCTGCTGATGGCCTCCCACACCCTGCTCAGTCCCCACCTCATTTATCAGAAGCTTTGACAGCAAATAAACTTGGTCCTGTGGCAAGGAGAGGTAGCCAGGATGCAACACTGGAAAACCATTGCTCCCAGTGGGGTATGTGGACGGGTCCCAGAGCACGGTCAGCCCACAGAAGTTCAGTGCTGGCTGCAGGTCACCAGTGCTCACCAGGGCATGCAACTGAAAGGTGTTTTATGGTCTCAGCTCCTTGACAAACGGCTTGCTCCATGTGCCTCCTGACAACTGGGAAAGGATAACTGGGAGATGTGTTTAAAAGCTCACCCCTGGCCCAACAGAGACATGGCACTGCAGACATCCACTATGCAAATACCTTCTTTCCTTTAAAGCACTATAAATTCTGGGAAAAAAACAATGAAAAGCTGTCTCTGAGCTGTGGCCAGGGCTTGAGACCTCAGCTGATGTGGAGGAAAAGAAGTGGGATGTGGGCAGAGCTGGAGCTGTCACCAGCAGGGATGAGTCCTCCATGCCAGCCTTGCCCCTGGCCCACAGCCATGTCCTGCTCATGCTGAGCATCACTGGGATCTCAGCTAATGATCCCAAACTTTTCACAGAGGTAGAATATTTTTCTTGTGAATTAGTATGATACACTGCTCCCACAAATCACTTTACCAATGGCTATAGCAACAACTCTGAGGCAGCAGGGGTGCCTTCTCAGTCAGATCAGCATAGCCTTTCCTGAACAATGAGGAGCAGGCTCACACCCCTGGAAGCTGGAACACGACTCTAGGGCTCAGCTAGGAGCTGCTACCTGTAGTCCCATGTGAGACCACTCGGCTCAGCCCAGTGGATGGAGCTGCAGAGGAGCCTGCGGACACCCAGCACACCCCCGGTGCTCAGAGAACCCTCCCCATGCCCAGTGTTTCTCCATCCCTGCCCTGCTGCTCCTTCCAAGCATCACCCCAGTGCTAATCTTTCTCTGTGTCACCCACCACTAGGTGCCACCCAGCTGGTACACAGTGCTCCTGGGACCACTGGGTCCCAAGCACAGGCACTCCCCAGCTGATGCCAGCTGCAGTTCCCTGACCCCAGCCTCAGGGTGCAGACAGACAGACAGACATCCCCAGGGTAGGCAGGAACAGGATCATGGACATAAATAGAAACTCTTCAGGCAGAGAAAGAAAATTAAAGACTAAAGATTGGAAAAGAGAGTTTTAGCAAGAGAGCAGGACAAGGACAAAGCAGTGCCCAGGCTGTCACCATGGCACCTTTGGTCATACCAATGGGAAATCAGTTATAAAAGAAATTCAAACTTAAGTTGAATTTAGAACACAAAATCCCCACGAGACCCGAATATGCCCTTTTCATCTGCCCTAAATTATTCTTTGAATTTCTACTTGGGAGCCAGGTCTCAAGAAGTAGCACAATCCTGTGGCTTCTGAAAGCCGTGGTGGCATCTCCACAGGATGTCTGGATGAGCTTTGCAGAGCCAAGGGTCCAACAAACTCCAACAGCCTTGGGTGCAGGACATTGGCACCTCCTCCTAAAGTCACCTCCAGTCCCACTGCCCTGGCCCCAGGACCTGCAGCACCAGGGCACTGGGGTAGGTTTGGACAGTAACATACGGGGGGTCCTCCACATCCACTGTGCACAGCAATGATGGGGGTGGGTGCCAAGTGAGTGGGTGGAGAGAGAAGAAGGGTTTGCAGAAGGGTGAGGGATAGAAAATGATGCAAACATCATCTGAACTTGCTGAGAACTGTCCGTGCTCCACCATCCCCAGCCCCTAGGCTGCCTTTAGGCCCCAGTCCTGCAGGAAGAGGGACACAGCCAACCTGTCTCACTCAACAGCCAGTGCCTCTTGCATACCCCGTGGCACCCCGCGGGGCACAGTGAGCGAGCCCTGTGGCGCTGGTGCAGCACCTCCCCCACCTTCATCCAGTGGGGATGAGGGGGTCCTTGTGCACGGGGGAGAACCCAGGCACACGGAGCAGGATACAAGAACAGGGTGGGGACACTGCTCAAGTTCCCTCTGCCACCCCAAGATGTAGTGGCAGCTTTGCTGTGCAGGTCACGGGCTGCCGAGGAGGGACGGCTCCCTGTCAAGGAACAGCACCGGTGGGAGCTGCGGCCGCTCTGGCTCGTGAAATGCCTCCTTAGGAAACTCCGGCTGTAATCTGAGGAGGGGGCACCAGCGCCCTGTGGCCCTGCTGAATGGAGCCATTATGCGGCCCCTCTCGCTCGAAGCACATGTTTTCCTTGTGGACTCGTCTGACCTCACAGGCGAGATGTAAAGGTGCATTTATGGCCTGGGCCCCCCATCAAGTGCAGGGGATCCAGCTCTCCCAGGCGGGAGGCACTGGCTGTGGGCTCTCTCCCCTTTTGCTGGGGCTAGTCTGGCTCAGGAGCCCGGGTAGACCGAGCCTGAGCGCTGCACAGAAGCTGGGCTGAGGTGATGCGCTGCAAAGCGACCTGTGGGACACGGAGAGCACTGGGAGAAGGGACAAGTCAGTGCCACCTCCTGAGACCCTGCCCCCAGCCAGGCAGGATATGACCCTTGGGACAGCAAGACAGTGCCAGCACCTACTTTCTGAAGCCAAACACTAGGGTCCTGGGGCTGCCAACTCCACAATCACCAGCAGCCTGGGGCAGCTTCACCATGATTTCCAAAGCATCCTGTATCCCACCAGCCCAGGCTCAGCAACTTAATCTCAGGCTCCCCAGCGCAGATCATGCCCCAGAGATGCAGGATTGCCCTCCGTCCCTCTCACGACTCTATCGCCAGAGACACTCAAACACCCCTCCCTCCAGCAGAACCGGCCCCGGGCATCCAGGACTGGCTCTGGAGGCATCCAGGACCGGATCCCCGCAGCCTCCTGGGGATCAGGACGAGCCCCCACGTCTCTGGCCCCGCTCGGGCTCAGCTCCTCACGCTCTCCCCGCCGTCGGCTCCCCCCGCCTCCGCCGCGCACAGGACGGACTTTGTCTTGGAAGGCGCCCAGCGCCGCGGCTGCCCGGGATGGGGGATGGACCGGCAAGCTCGTCCCGTCCCGTCCCGTCCCGTCCCGTCCCGTCCCGTCCCGTCCCGTCCCGTCCCGTCCCGCGGCCCCGGC